AGGATGGATCACGGGATTCGCATGAAGGGCGAGGGAGGATGGAAGGGGGAGGAAGGAGGGAGGAGGATGGAAGGGGGAGGGAGGAGGATGGATCACGGGATTCGCATGAGAGGGGGGGGGGGGGCTAGGAACAGAACACACGCGGCAGAACCCGGGCGGGGTCCATCGGGCACGCCACGCCCTCGACGATCCGAAAACGCGCTCTCGCCCTGCCCCCTCTCACGATTCACTTTAGCATCGCGCTGTCGCTCGACACCTCCTCGCTACGCATGCGGTGTTCACGCTTCGGCAGCACGCCTGCTCGACCTGGTCGTTTGGGCCCGCCTTCCCGACCCGCCCGTTAGGCTCTGCCGACCAGGTGGGCCTGTCTGGTCCTGCCACGTGGTTTTTGCTCCTAGCCACCCTCCTGCTACTTTCTCTCGTGCTCCTCCCTTCTCCCTCTCCCTTCCATCGGTGCTCTCTGCCCCTGTTTCACGGGATGTACGAAATGCACGTGGCAGGTAACGAAGATATGCCCCCAAGGGGGTACGCTCGAAAACGAAGTGGACGGGTATCGACGGTTTGGGAATAGACGTGTTGACTGGCACGCGAGCAGAAAGGAACGAACAGTATCAAATTGTTGGTGTGGTTGTTGTTGTTGATCGTGGTCGTGTTGGTGTTGGTGTTGGTATTGTTGTTGTTGGTGGTGTTGTTGCTGGTGCTGTTGTGGTTGTTTTTGTTCGTGTTGTTGTTGTTGGTGGTGGTGTTGCTGTTGGTGTTGAATTCTGCTTTCTAGGAAATCCAATATTTAGAAATGATATTGCAACACCAACATGACCAACACCAGCACCAGCAATGATACGACCCGCACCAGCACCAACAACCATTAACAACAACAGCAGCAACACCAACCCCAACACCAACCCCAACACCACCACACCAACAACATCAATCATTTTAAGAGTGTTTGTTCTTATCTGCCTGCGTGTCATTCACGTATCTCCCAAACCATCGATACCCGCCATGTTCGTCTTCGATCGTACCCCCTTGGGAGGTATCTTCCTTACCTGCTACGCGCATTTAGCGCATCCCCTAATTATCCTGGCGAACGACCCGACCATATGCTGTTGTGAGTACCGTCGTTGCGGGTATCGCCTTCGGGGGATCTCCTCATGGGGCCATGAAGCATGCGAAGGTTGTGCCGAGAAGGGGCGGGGCCGCCATGTGGGCGCTGCCATTGGTGCTTTAGGCGGAGCGGTCTACGGGGTTGCGAAGAGTATGAGGGGTGCGCCGCAGTGGAGCGAAGCCATTGGGGCCTTCTTTGGAGCTCCCTATGGGGCACCGAAGCATGTTATGGGCGGGGGTAACGCATGCGAGTACAGCCACCGGGGCCTTCGGTGCAGCTCCCCATGAGGCCACGAAGCGCTATGCTGGGGGTGAGGGAACGCATGCGAAAGCCGTCACTGGGGCTGGTGGAGCTCCCTATGGGGCCACGAAGCGTTGCACTGGGTGCGGGAACCGCATGCGAGTGCATCCACTGGGGCCTTCGGTGGAGCTCCCCATGGGGCCGAAGCGCTGTATTGGGTGGGGGGGACGCATGCGGGCGGTGCCACTGGGGCCTTCGAGTGAGCTCCGTATGGAGCCACGAAGCGCTGTTCTGGGTGAGTGTGACGCATGCGGGCGGTGCCAGTGGGGCCTCCGGTGGAGCTCCCTATGGGGCCACAAAGCACTGTACTGGGTGGGGGTGACCCATGCGGGCGTTGCCACTGGGGCCTTCGGTGGAGCTCCCTATGGGGCCACGAAGCGCTGTTCTGGGTGGGGGTGACTCATGCGGGCGGTGCCATTGGGGCCTTCGGTGGAGCTTCCTTTCGGGCCACGAAGCGTTGTATTGGGTGGGGGTGACGTATGTTGGCGGTGCCATTGGGGCCTTCGGTGGAGCTCCCTATGTGGCTACGGAACGCTGCATTGTGTAGGGGTGACGCATGCGGGCTGCGCCGCTGGGGCCTTCAGTGGAGCTCCCTATGGGGCCACGAAGCGCTGTACTGGGTGGGGGTGACGCATGCGGGCGGTGTCGGTGGAGCTCCCTATGGAGCCACGAAGCGCATTATTGGATGGGGGTGACGCATGCGGGCGGTGCCGCTGGGGCTCTCGGTGGAGCTCCCTATGGGGCCACGAAGCGCTGTATAGTGTGGGGGTGACGCATGCGGGCGGTGCACCTGGGGACTTCGGTGGGGCTCCCTTTAGAGCCACGCAGCGCTGTATTTGGTGGGGGTGACGCATGCGGGCGGTGCCAGTGGGGCCTCCAGTGGAGCTCCCTATGGGGCCACGAAGCGTAGGAGAGGTGTGCCAAAGTGAGGGGGGTGACGGGAGGAGGGAGGAGGGGGGGAGGAGGAAGGAAGGAAAACGCGGGGATCGTCTCTTCAAAACGAAGACCCAACACCACAGGATGGTTGGCAAAAAAGAGAGCACCGATGGAAGGGGGAGGGAGAAGGAAGGAACACGAGAGAAAGTAGCATGAGGGTGGCTAAGATCAGGTACCACGTGGCATAACCAAACGGGCAGATCGGGCGGGAGACCCTAGCGGGCGGCTCGGGAAAGCGGGCCCAGGCGGCCAGGTCGGGCAGGCGGGTTGCTGAAGCGTGGGTCCTGCATGAGTCGCGAGGAAGTGTCCAGCGATAGCGCGTTTCCCAAATGAATCATGAGAAAGGCAAACGCGAGAGCGTGATCCTTGATCCTTGAACGTTGTGAGGAAACATCAGGCGGGAATCGTAGGTGTTTGAGTACATTGTGAGCACGTCCCGCGCGAGAGCGCAACTTTCAAATAAGCCGCGTGGAAGTATAAGGGGGGGCGGCCGTGGTTGTTGTAAGTCGGGGGCCTGGGGCTCACCTTGGTGACACCATATTTTTCCTGATAGAAAACAGGTTGCGAGCCCCAGGAGGGGCATTTCAGTTGAAAAAATATCGGCCACCGAAGGGACGATCAACAGTATTAATGCTTCCGAAATGGCAACTCAACAACGCAGCAGAACCTGTACCGCGGAACCCCACTTCAGCCACGCACCCAGGGACAATGAATGACTGATGGGCTCCTTACTCTGATCGAAGTACTTTCGGGTGGATGCGTCTATACACAAACCGGCCGTCGCGCTCGGCGCAGCACAGGGTCGGATAAATGGTAGATCCGTCTATGGCACGTTTTTGTGTAAAGCAGGCCCCAAGTGGTATTCGCTGGCGTTGGCGCGTAAGCTGCTCGAGTCATCTCGCAAGTGCCCTGGTCCACCGTGCGGCGTGCAACGATGGCGGGTCGCGTGAGATACCGCGCAAGGTCGCTACGTCATCACGCATCAGATCCGATCCTGTTCGTCGGTCAGGTGTTACCCGCCTCCCCTCACGAGCAGGCTGAGTCACCTGCCCGTTCTCGCGCCGGGTGTGGCCCGCGTCGCCTGCCCGCCGGCCCGCTGCCTGGGGCCGTGCCGCCTCGTATGGGCGGCAGGCGGTGTCCCAAACCGCCGCGGGGGCGGCCAGGGGGGGGCCAGCCGGCGGTCTTCCGGACCTCTGGCCTTGCAGGGAGAGCAGCGGCGCTTGCCTCGGCTCGGTACGACCGAACTGGGCGCGGAAGCAAGGGGTGCAACGACCAACAGCAGCTCCTGCTCGTTTTGAACAGAACTCGCTGTCGGTGTCGCCGCGGACGACGTCCATGTGAGGCAGAGGGCCGCCTGCCCAACAGCGGCCGCTGTAGTAGGTTTTGGACAGCACGTGCTGTTGGGCATCGTACCCATGTCTTCTGCACCCATGTCGGGCGTCCAAGTGCCTCGGCGGAGGTGGGGAGGTGGGGAGGGGAGAGGCAGGATGCGTTTTCTCAAGCAGTGGCGAAGCGTCCTGGCTCGCCTTTAGCCCTACCTAACCAAGTTATAAGAGCCACGAAATGTTCGTAGAACATTTCTAGTTAATATTGTCTTGTTCTAACACATCGGGTCCATGTTCTAAGAACATTGTTTTTGCTATAAGAACATGTTTGGGGTTCTAAGAACATTCCGTGGTACGACTATAGGAATGCCGGGACTGTCGGTCCCTTCTCAATTTCCATTCTAGACGACCCAGGTCGGGTCCGAGCAGATGGGGTCGGAGGGGCGCGCCGCATCGCCGATGCATCGACCATGCGGCTCGATATGGAGCCAGATTTTCTCCTCGCCGACGGCGCCGATGATGCATCGTCGACGCTGTCGATGCATCGCCGATACATCGGCGATGCATCACCGATGCAACGGCGACGCGGCGCAATACACCGACGCCGTTTATTCGGACCCGATCTAGGAGGCATCTAGAGGTAGGATGTGGTCTCACCCTTCGCCGCTTTTCGCTTCGTGTAGCAGGCTGCTGCACTCAACTGCCGTGCCTGACCCGACCAACGGATTGATGGATGAGGAGGAGGAAGGAGGAGAAGCTTGGGAGGAGAAGGTGCTTGACAGGAGGGTCAACGTGTTTGGCTGCTTTTTGATTCTAGATTCCGTAGACATCCGGGGGAGCCCATGGGGACTAATGGGGACCTCGGGAGGCCTCGGGAGATTCCGTAACAGCAGATTCGTCGAGTACGGAGCGGGCTTGCCAGCAGATGCCTTTTATGGACATTTCTTACTGTTCGACGGCCCCTGGATTCTATTGGAATTCTTGCGGGGTGCCACACGAAGTTTTATGGTGGGAGTGCGGTGCGCTCCAATACGCATTTCAGGATTTTCTTTGTATGTACATCGGAGAACGAGAAGGCTTGCAGAAAGGAGGGGGTGCAGGACAATGCCCTCCCTGAAGCACGATGTCTGTATTCGTGGGATGCGTGGAGCTGCTCGCACGGGCGGAGGGACGCTGGCGCGCACTGGAGAACTGGGGATGAGGAGTGGGGCCATCACGATGCAACGAAAGCCTATCTATGCCCGTATCCATTCTAGCTCAAGCTGCTGGCCGCGCCACCGCACGCGTCGCCGCGCCGCGGCGGGGCGCGGGGATGTCGTCGGGGCTGGCCCCAGAGACGCGCATCGCCTTTCTCCAGGACAACCCGAAGCGACGGGGGGGTCTGGCGGCCGAGCGGTATGACAGGTACAAGGCCGCCACGACAGTACAGGATCAAGCAGTGGCGAAGCATACTGACCCGCCCATAGGCCCACCAAAGAAAGTGCCACGAGCCCTTTGTGGTTTGGACTACATGTTTTTAGAGCATGCCTGGCTGAGGCCGTCTTGTTCTAACACATCGGCCTTATGTTCTAAGATTTGTGTTGCGGCTCTCTGAACATTCTGCGGCTCTAAGAACATGTTGGCCAGCGTGATCCCCACACAGTGTATTTCTAGCCATCTATGGTGTGCAACCCACGTGGTGCAGTATATGCTGTGCACTCTATGCGGTGCTATATGATGTGCATCCGTTCGGTGCAATGTCGGCGTTTCAATGTATGTTGTTCAAGCTATGTGCTGTACTATAAACGTAAATGTGGCAACCCATACGGTACAGTCTATGTGTTGCAAGATGTATGTGTATATCTATATATATATATATAGTTGGTGCAACCTGTGTGGTGCAAGTTATGTGGTGTAATCTATGTTGTGCAGTCTGCGTGGTGCGAGATACGCTGTGCAATGCTTTTGGCGCACTCTATGCGGTTCAACATTGGTTTTGCAAACTATCGTGCGCAACCTACGTGGCGCAATCTAAGTTGTGCAGTCTGTGCGGTCTCAGAAATGTTCAGCAATGCGTTTGGCGCAATGTATGCGGCTCAACATTTGTTGTGCAACGTATGTGGTGCAGTCTGAGTGGTGCCATCGTATATGATACAGCCAATGTCGTACAATTTATACGACACGAAGTTTGTTGTGCACTCAACGTGGTTCATTTGATGTTATGCAACCCATGCTGTACAACCTTTGCTGTACGATCTGTGTCGCGGAAGCTCTGCGGTGCAATATACGTGGTGCAACATATGCGGTGTAATCCTTGTGGTGCGATCTATAAGGTGCAATCCACTTTGACTGTCTTGAAGCTGTCCTCTCCACTGCTCGTGCAAACATCCCACACACCCACCCGCAACTTGGTTGGCAAAACCTGTTCAGACCGACTACGACGACACCGACGACAACGACTAGGACGACACCGGCGACGTCTCCGACGACTTCGACGACGACAACGACGCCGACGACGACGAAGACGACGACGACGACGCCAACGAAGGCGACGACGAGGGAGGAGGAAGGACGACGACGGCGACAACGACGACAACGACGACAACGACGAGGGAGGAGGGAGAACGGCGACGACGCGAACGACGACGAAGGAGGAAGGGCGGCGACGCCGACGACGACAACGACAAGGGAGGAGGGAAGACGACGACGACAACGACGACGACGACGGCGACGAAATAGGAGGGACGACGACGAGACGCCGACGACGGACGACGACGACGACGAGGGAGGAGGAGGAAGGACGACCACGGCGACAACGACGACGGAAACGACCACGACGCCAAAGAGGACGACGACGACGAACACGAGGAAAGACAGAGGACGACGTAGGCGACGACGACGACGACGACGCGGGAGGAGGGAGGACGACGACGACGACGACGACGACGACGCCGCAAGAGCGCGCGCGCACGCTTTTGTTGAAACTCCGTGTTGCGAAACCTTGGGTTTTTGTAGGCTTGTTGGACGCGCGATGTTGAAACCCTTCCGAAACCGATGGGTTTTGAGGGATTTCGGCGTACGCGCACGACGACGCGCGCGTCTGCACTTCGTCCCATTTTTTGCACAGGATTCTCGCGACGGCACGCGCGCAAGGGCGTTCGGCAGATTTCGACATGCGCGCGCGCGACGCCCGTTTCGTAGCATGATGTGAAAATCTTGAAAAACCAATGGTTTTCTTTTGATTTCGCCAGAGCTCGCGCGGAAGCTTTTTTAGCAAATCAGTGTTGCGAAACCTTGTGTTTTTGTATGTTTTTTGGAAACTCGATTGCGCAATCCCTCTGGCACTGAAGGTTTTTCAAGGATTTCGGCATGCGCGCGCGACGACGCGCGCGTGCGCACTTCGTCCCATTTTTTTGCAAGGGATTCGCGAACAAAAGTGCTACGCTAGAACAAAAAAACGTCACCGCATAGTGTTTTTTACAAGGGAACCTTAGGGGGGAACCGGGTTTGGCTGGGATGGTATGATTTCGTATTTAGGATGGACGAGCTGTCAGAACCATATGAGATTTACATACCCGAAATGGGAACGGATACGTCCGGGGGGGGGTAGAGTCTTTTTTTTAATCACTTGCCGAACTTGAAGTTGTCAACTCCACTGCTCGCGCAACCACCCCACCCACCCACCCGCAACTTGGTTTGCAAAACCCATGCGGGACCAAGGCCCAAATATCGCTCCGGGGCTCGGGGGCGTCTAAAGAGCGCCCCAAGAAGGCCAGAGAAGCAAGACGGCCGACGACGACGACGACGACGTCGACGACGGCGGCGACGACGACGACGCCGACGACGACGAGGGAGGACGACGACGCCGACGCCGACGACGACAACGAAGACGACGACGACGTCGCCAACGAAGACGACGACGAGGGAGGAGGGAGGACGACGACGGCGACAACGACGACAACGACGACAACGACGACAACGAGGGAGGAGGGAGGACGGCGACGACGCGAACGACGAAGACGGAGGAAGGACGGCGACGCCGACGACGACGACGACGACGAGGGAGGAGGGAAGACGACGACGAGACGACGACGACAACGACGACGACGACGACGGCGACGAAGTAGGAAGGACGACGACGAGACGCCGACGACGGACGACGACGACGACGACGACGACGCGGGAGGAGGAGGAAGGACGACCACGGCGACAACGACGACGGAAACGACCACGACGCCAAAGAGGACGACGACGACGAACACGAGGAAAGACACAGGACGACGTAGGCGACGACGACGACGACGCGGGAGGAGGGAGGACGACGACGACGACGACGACGACGACGACGACGACGCCGCAAGAGCGCGCGCGCACGCTTTTGTTGAAACTCCGTGTTGCGAAACCTTGGGTTTTTGTAGGCTTGTTGGACGCGCGATGTTGAAACCCTTCCGAAACCGATGGGTTTTGAGGGATTTCGGCGTACGCGCGCGACGACGCGCGCGTCTGCACTTCGTCCCATTTTTTGCAGAGGATTCTCGCGACGGCACACGCCCAAGGGTGTTTGACAGATTTCGACATGCGCGCGCGACGCCGGCTTCGTAGCATGTTGTGCAAATGTTGAAAAACCAATGGTTTTGTTAAGATTTCGCAAGAGCTCGCGCGTAAGCTTTTTTAGCAAATCAGCGTTGCGAAGCCCAGTGCTTTTGTATGTTTTTTGGAAGCTCTATTGCACAATCCTTCTGGCACCGAAGGTTTTGGAAGGATTTCGGCATGCCCGCGCGACGACGCGCGCGTGCGCACTTCGTCCAATTTTTTCTACAAGGGATTCGCGAAGAAGTGTTATGTTAGAACCAAACATGTCACCGCATAGTTTTTTCTTACAAGGGAACCTCAGGGGGGGGATACCGGTTGGCCTGGGACATTGCGATCTCATATTTAGGATGGACATGTGGTCAAAATCATATGTGATGTACATACCCGAAAGGGGGACCGATAACGCCGGCGGGGGGTAGAGTCGATTCTCTTCTTTTTAGAACGGGGAACTAATTTCTGTTCGCCGTGAGTTGTCCACTCCACTGCTCGCGCAAATATCCCACCCCCACCCACCCACCCGCAACTTGGTTTGCAACATCTCTTAAGACCGTGACGGTGGGTACCAATTAGCACTTGCCAACGACAGCGACGCCGACGACGACAGCGACGACGACGACGACGACGACGCCGCCGACAACGACTACGACGACACCGACGACGTCTCCAACGACTCCGACGACGCCGACAACGACGAAGACGACACCGACGACGACGACGCCGACGACGACGACGACGATGACAACGACGACGACGATGACGACGCCGACGACGACGACAACGACGACACCGACGACGACGACGACGTCAACGACGCCGACGACGACGACGACGACGGCGGCGACGACGACGACGACGCCGACGACGATGACGATGACGACGACGACGACGATGACGACGCCGACGACGACGACAACGACGACACCGACGACGACGACGACGTCAACGACGCCGACGACGACGACGACGACGACGACGGCGGCGACGACGACGACGGCGACGTCGACGACGACGAAAACGACGACGCCGACGCCGATGGCGACGACGAAAAAGTGGCGTGCTAGAACAAGGAATGTCACCGTATAGAGTTTTTTTACAAGGGAACCTCAGGGGGGGGGAACTGGTTTGGCTGGGATGATATGATTTCATATTTAGGATGGACGAGATGTCAGAATCATATATGATGTACATACCCGAAATGGGGACGGATAAGTCCCGGGGGGGGGGGGCTTGAAGTTGTCAACTCCACTGCTCGCACAATCACCCCACCCACCCACCCGCAACTTGGTTTGCAAAACCCATGCGGGACCAAGGCCCAAATATCGCTCTGGGGCTCGGGGGCGTCTCAAGAGCGCCCCAAGAAGGCCAGAGAAGCAAGACGGCCGACGACGACGGCGGCGGCGACGACGACACCGACGTCGACGACGAAGAAGACGACGACGCCGACGCCGACGACGACGACGAAGACGACGACGACGTCGCCAACGAAGGCGACGACGAGGGAGGAGGGAGGATGACGACGGCGACACCGACGACAACGACAACGACGAGGAAGGAGGGAGGACGGCGACGACGCGAACGACGAAGAACGAGGAATGACGGCGACGCCGACAACGACAACGATGAGGGAGGAGGGAAGACGACGACGACAACGACGACGACGACGACGACGATGACGACGGCGACGAAATAGGAGGGACGACGGTGAGACGCCGACGACGGACGACGACAACGACGACGAGGGAGGAGGAGGATGGACGACCACGGCGACAACGACGACGGAAACGACCACGACGCCAAAGAGGACGACGACGACGACGAACACGAGTAAAGACAGGACGACGTAGGCGACGACGACGACGACGACGCGGGAGGAGGGAGGCTGGCGACGACGACGACGACGACGACGCAAGAAAGCGCGCGCACGCTTTAAAAGCGTGCGCGCGCCGTTTACCAGATTGGAGCTTGTTCGCTGGATTGGGCTTCGCCAGATTGGAGCAGATTGACCCTTTCTGCCAGATTGCCAGATTGGACCCGCCAGATTGGCGCCAGATTGGCTTCGACTAGCCAGCTTGTGTTGAAAATCCGTGTTGCGAAACTTTGTGTTTTTGTATGTTTTTTGGACACGATTTCGAAATCCTTCCGAAACCGATGGGTTTTGAAGGATTTCGGCGTACGCGCGCGACGACGCGCGCGTCTGCACTTCGTCCCGTTTTTTGCCGAGGATTCTCGCCACGGCACGCGCGCAAGGGTGTTCGACAGATTTCGACATGCGCTCGCGCGAAGCCCGTTTGGCAGCGTGTTGTGAACATCTTTATAACAAATGATGGTTTTCTTAAGATTTCGCAAGAGCTCGCGCGTAAGCTTTTTTAGCAAATCAGCGTTGCGAAACCCAGTGCTTTTGTATGTTTTTTGGAAGCTCGATTGCGCAATCCTTCTGAAACCGAAGGTTGTTCAAGGATTTCGGCATGCGCGCGCGACGACGCGTGCGTGCGCACTTCGTCTTATTTGTTGCAAGGGATTCGCGAAACAAAGTCTTATGTTAGAGCAGACAATGTCCCCGCGTATTGCTTTTACGAGGGAACCTCAAGGGGGGCTATACCGGCCCCCCTGGGATAGTGTACATTCATATGTAGGATCGGCATGTGGTCAGACTCATATATGCTTTACATACCCGGAAGGGGGGATAACGCTGGGGGGGGGGGGGTAGAGTATATTCTCTTTTTAGAAAGGAGAACCTATGTTGTGCATTTGAAATGTTACAAATGCGTTGACACATTAGATCCCGCCCACCCACCCGCAACCTGGTTTGCAAAACCCATGCGGCGGCGATGGCGATGAGTGCTTGGCGTTGGCTGCTGCATCTTGCGGCCGCGTTAGCCCGCGAATGCTCGCGCGCACAGGGGCCAGCTAGCCTTGCGCGGCCGACGCGGCCGCGGTGTTCGCAGCGGGTTTTTTCAGTGCGAGTCGGGGATTTAGGCGGGCGCGGTACCATGGCGACGCCGACAGCGGCAGACACAATTATGAGAGTAGCGATGATGGTGACAATGGTGGCGATGACGACGGCCGGCAAGGCCAATGACGGCGCCGATGTTGATCACGCCCGCCGATAACGATGACGACGTTTTCGCGTCGGCGATGAAGGTTTTTGAAGGAGTCCGACATGCGCGGTGGGGCGACGCGCGCGAATTGCCCGCGTGGTATCATGTGACACGGATCGTGACCCCCCTCCCGGCACGCGCGCAAGCGCGTTCGAATGAGTTCGACATGCCGTGCGGTAAGCACATTTGGCAGGATATGCTGAAACGTTGAACAACATGCTTGTTTCCCAAGAATATGTAAGACCGTAAGCGCAGTCTGTGTTTTTTTATTTAATGTTGCAGAGTCGTGTGTTTTGTTATGCGCTGGGGACACTCGTTTTTGAGATCCTTGCGAAAACGATTTATATCAGAAAGGATGTCGGCATGCGCGCGCGACGATGCGCGCGTGCGCACGTCGTCCCGCTCTCGTTGCAAAAGGGTTCTTGCTGTCGTGTCGACACGCGCGCGCGCAGAAGGCCCGTTGGTAGCATGTTGGGAGAAACCAATAATACAACAACTACGGTTTCATGCAATTTCGCAAAAGCGCGGGCACAGTTTCTTGTTTATGTGAGAATTCTTGTGGCAGTACAATTTGTTTTCGGGACAGCCGTTTTTGAGATAGTGAGGGGGCGAACTCTGGTCAGGCTGGGACGGTGCGAGTTTATATTTAATCGCTTCGCTCATTCCGCCGGCCCATATTGTCGCACCGTTGTGGGCTAGCCGAGTTTTGGGGCCTCTTGGGGGCCGTTTTGGGGCCTCTTGGGGCCTCTTGGGGGCCTCTTGGGCGCCTCTTGGGGCGTCTTGGGGGCCTCTTGGGGGCCTCTTGGGGGCCTCTTGGGGGCCCCTTGGGGCCTTTTTGGGGCCTCCTGGGGGGGCGGAGGGCTCGATGGCCCTCTTGAGCCCCTCTTGGGCCCGTCTTGGGGCCTCTTGGTCCGTCTTGGGCGGCACTTGGGCCGTCTTGGGGGCCCTCCTGGGCCGTTCCGGGGCCGTCTTGGGAGCCTCGTGGGCCGTCTTGGAGCGGTCTTGGGGGCTTCTTGGGCCGTCGTGGAGCGTCCGGAAGCCGAAAAAGCCAGAACGCAAAAAACATAAAAAAAAAAAAAAAAAAAAACAATGCAAATCAACGATTTTGGCCTCTTGGGGCCCTCTTCGGAGGCCTCTTGGAAGGCCCTTGGGGCGTCTTGGAGGCCTCTTGGGCTGTCTTGGGGCCCTGTTGGGCTTTTTCGGGCGATCTTTGGCCGTCTCGGGGCCCTCTTGGACCGTCTTGGAGGCTTTTTGGGGACCTCTTGGCCCGTCCTGGGGCCCTGTAACAGGGCTCCGGCATCTCTGGCCCGACCTTGCCGGGACCTTGCCGGGGACTTGCCGGGACCTTGCCGGGGTACTTTTCGTCCGGGGGCGAACTCTGGTCAGGCTGGGACGGTGCGAGTTTATATTTAGGATGGACGATGTGGCAAACTCATATGTAAACTGCATACGAAAGGGTGTGTCGTTAACCCCAGAGGGTAGATCTTGGTATTTGTTCAACATTGATAATCTAACGCGGCGACGAAGCGGCGACCAGACGACCACGGCGGCCACACAACCGCCAGACCGACAGACAAGCCCGGACGACGGGCGACGAGGCGGCGACGGGGCGGCGACGGCGGTCACGTAGCCGCCATACCGAAAACACGGCCCAGTTCCTTAGGACAGAAGTGATAACCCCTAAGTGCAAGCACTGTGTGGGGCATCTCGTGGTAGGCCTAAGAAGAGTGCTCGGACGGTCGGCCCCTGCCCAACAGGAGTTCTACGCGCTGGGCGGCTTGGAAGGCGACCTGAACTGGGACCGCGACAGGGGTTTCCTGACCGTGGTCCCCGCGGCCCGCAAACGGAAGCCGGCGACGTCGCCGCGTCGCTCCATCCTCGCGCGCCGCCGCGCCGAGAAGGAGAACCGGCAGGAGGCCGGCGGGCGGAACCGAGGTCCGTGTCCAGGGCCTCGCGGGCCGGGCTTCCAGGGCCGCGACGGCCCCGCGAACACGCGTGGGGTTTCGGTCGCGGGCGCCCCGCGCGGGTCGTATCCATGCGACCGCGCATTCGTGGGGCCGCGCCCCAGAGTCTAAGCCGCGAGGGCGTGGACATGGCACCCAGACGTGCGACGCCTGGACTTTAGAATGCGGGGCCCCCAGAAGTCCCCTCTCCCAAACGCTGGCCCTTTCACCGGGGAACTTGTTTTTTGGGGCTGGCGGTTGCCGAGGGTCCCCAGGAGTCGAACATGGCTTGACCCCCTACGTTTTCCTAACCATCCTGTGGCGTTGGGTCGTCGTTTTGAATCAACAGCGCCGCGCTTCCCTCCTCACCTGCCCTCCGCGTGTTCATGTCGGCACACCCCGTGCAGTCAGCTCCACCGAAGGCCCCAATGTCACCGTCCGCATGTGGGCGTCATGCCCGTTTCGGCACACCCCTCGCACGCTTCGTGGCCCCAGACTTCCACCGAAGGCCCCATGCAGAGGCACCGTCCACGTGGGCGTCACGCCCGTTTCGGCATGCCCCTCACACGTTTCGTGACCCCGTGGGGAGTTCTTCCGAGGCCCCAGTGGCAGGGCCGGCATGCGTCCCCGCGCCCGTTTCGGCACGCTCCTAACTCGAAGGCCCCGGAGGCAGCGCCCACATGTGGACGTCACGTCCGTGTCGGCACGCCTCTCACACGTTTCGTGGCCCCAGAGGGAGCTCCGCCAAAGGCCCCAGAGGCAGAGTCCACATGTGCACGTCACACCCGTGTCGGCATGCCTCTCGCCCGACCTTTTCGTGGCCCCTGAGGGAGCTCCGCCGAATGCCCCAGAGGCAGCGCCTACATGTGAACGTCACGGCTGTGTCGGTACGCTACTCACACGTCTAGTGGCTCCAGAGGGAGCTCTGCCAAAGGCCCCAGAGGCAGAGTCCGCATGTGACCGTCAGGCCGTCAGGCCCGTGGCAGCACGCCTCTCACACGCTTCGTGGCCCCTGAGGGAGCTCCGCCAAAGGTCCCAGAGGCAGAGTCCACATGTGGACGTCGCGCCCGTGTCGGCACGCCTCTCACACGTCTCGCGGCCCCATCGAGAATTCCGCCGAATGCCCCAGAGGCAGAGTCCACATGTGCCACATGTGGACGTCACGCCCGTATTGTGTCCCCGGAGGGAGTTTCCCCGACAACGGCGTCGCAACGTGGTATTCACAATTGAATGTGGTTGGGCCATTCGCCAGGACAACTTCACGACGCGAGGGGGTCTTGGGACGCTTCTCGTGAGGAGGCGGGGGACGCCCCCTGCGCACGGACCCCCGGTGGCGCGGGCGCCGCGCGCGGCCCGCGGCAGGACGCCGAGCGCGAGCAGAGGCGCCTTGAGCGCGAGCGCGCGCGCAGCAGGACGCCAGCGGGCGCACACAAAGCTGCGCTGGCGCCGCGGACGCCCAGGGCCGCGCTTGCCCCGCGGACGCCTGGCGGCGCGGGGGCCGCGGCAGCAGCCCCGCGGACGCCCTGCCCCGCTCCGCGGACACCGGCAGCCCTCGTCGAGGCCCCGACAGCCGCTCCGCGAACGCCCGGCGCCGCCGCGGCCACGGCGGCAGCTCCGCGGACACCGGCGGCCCATGAGGCCGCGGCGGCTGCGGCGGCAGCTCCACAGACACCGGCGGCCATCGAGGCCCCTGCGGCAGCTCCGCAGACACCGGCGGTTCTCGAAGCCGCGGCGGCAGCTCCGCAGACACCGGCGGTTCTCGAAGCCGCGGCGGCAGCTCCGCAGACGCCGGCGGTTCTCGGGGCCGCGGCGGCAGCTCCGCAGACGCCTGGCGCCAGTGGGGCTCTGGCGGCAGCTCCGCGGACGCCCGACTTTGCTTGGGCCACACGGGTGCGCTGGACGGGTTCAATGCGAGCAACTGCGTCTTGGACTGTTTGGTTGGGGAGGGGCGCCAGAAGGCCGAGGCGCAACGGGCAGCGGATATGGAGGCAAGTCTCGCCCTTCTAGGGGCCAGATTTTCATACATACCCACTGCGCCTCGGGTGTCTGGGGGAAGGGCGCTCGAAAATGCAGTGGACATGGATATACATCTTGCAGCATTCAAGTGGTGTTGGGGGGAGGGGTTTGACCGCCCCGCGTGGCTCCCCAGGGCCTACATATAATAAGGATGTGTCCTGCGCGTGGCACCCATCCGATCCTCGGCCACCCATGATTGCCCATCTCGCGTCCCGTCGCGCGCGTCGTGTTCATCGCCATCGGGGCAACCCCGACATTTTCGTATAGCGCCGCATTTGCTGAAATGCCCCCCTCCTCTCCCCTCCTGCCGCACGCTACCCTGGGCCCCTCCCGCCTTTCTCTTCCCCCGCCCCACCCCGCGCTTGCTTTCACGGGATGAGGCGCGGCTGCCCTGATCCCCCTGAAGCTGAAACCTCCGAAGTTGTGGGGCGACCCGAAAATCAGGGGCAAACATACACTGCTCTGGGGCTCGTTACCAGTCCCCGCGCTCGCCTCCAACCCTGGCCGCTCGAGCTCCAGGACCTCACCGCGCGCAGGCGTCCGAAAGCCCGGGAGGGAAAAGGCAACCGCGCGACGAGGTCCAGCTCAGGACAGGAGCGAGGCTCGACGGGTCGTGGGGGGGGAGCATCCTCCACCGTGCCCCCTCGGCACGTTGAGGCGTGCTGGAATGCCAGGTGCTGTCTGGTAGGCTTAGCTGCCTCGATACGCCCGTTTTGGAACGCAACGCGTCCCGTGTTCAAGACGTCCGTGTTCACACGTTGCGTGTCGGCTCAGCGTCTGGCCCACGCATTGGCGACCGCATCGCGTCATACCTACGTTTGTTTTTCAGTTTACATGTTGATTTCCGTGCCAATACGCTACGTGTTGACTGTTTGGCATCGGGGTAGCCAAGCTGGTAGGGTTTCTGCAATTTTCTGTAATGCCAGGTGCTGTACGGTGGAGTGAAATTGGGCCTGTCCTTCTACAGGAGGAATGTTCAAAACATAGTTTAAACAACATCAGGGGGCGATTGTTCTACCATGTTTGATGTATGCTGGTGTCTTTGGGGTTGTATTGTATTTGTCGTCCAGAGTCCGCCCGTAGGGGGACATACCCGACCTGATGGTAGGGCTCCTGTCATTTTCGGAGCCCCCACCCTCTCCCGCTCGCACGCGTTCGCAGCTACCGCCCACTCTTCCGCTGGCCTTGTGGACGTCGATCACTGGAGAGAAAACGTGCTGCCAAATCATTTCCAGATGTCCAAAAGATGTTCCAAACATGATTTAGACATGTGGAAAGCATGCTTGAACCATGTTTAGGATATGTGTTACACATGTGAAACACATCCTTAACTCAATAATAGGATCTTTAGAGTGTCCATTGTCATGGCATCCACAGCTCTGGCCCCGAGCCTTCGCAAACATTGCGGCAGGGTCGCGCTCCCGGGGCCCAGGTTCCTCCAGGACGGCCCCGTATCGCTCCAGGCCGGGTAACTTTGGTCTCACGACGGCCCACGATGGCTTCAGGACGGCCCACGAGGCCGCGGCCCGCACAGTTCCAGCAGGTCTCGCCGGTCTCGCGGGTCCCACAGGTCCCACGGGCCCCGGAGGTCTCGCAGGTCTCGCAGTTCCCGCAGGTCCCACAGGTCCCACGGCTCCCGCATGTCCCACAGGTCCCACGAGTCCCACGGCTCCCATGGGTCACGGAGGCCTCGACGGTGCCATAAGCCCTGCAGTTCCCACAGGTCCCTCGTACCACTCTTGCTGATATCAGGGTGCTTTGCTCTGGTAAATTCGAAGTACTGGGCGCGCGTCATTGCTTGGACTGAGCGCAGTGCAGAATGGGTCGTGAGCGCAAGTGGGAAAGGCTGTCCCGCAAATCGGGAATGTCGCCCGTCCTTGATTTGTTTGTATGTGAGCTTGCGGAGGTGGAGGTTTCCATCGTGGCCATGTTGCTAAAACCTCATGTTGCTTTCTGCTCTTCGCTCTGATGCTGCCGCTGGCGGATGGTATCAGGAGTCTTCTAGGGAGGTCCTGGGGCCGCCAGAGCTGTCGCGGGGCATCTTGAGGGCCTCTTTGGGCATGTTAAGTTGTATGCCCAGTGTTCCGAGGGCCTTCGCGGGGCGTTTTAGGACGCCCTGGAGCCTTCCTGAGCCAACCAGCGGAGCTCTCGTGAGACCGTCGAATGCCCATCTAGTCCGCATGCGTACCTTGTCTTGGCCTCTCCATGTACTTGTTCCCTTGCTGGGAGCCCGTGTTAGGTCGCTTGCTGTGGTGGCCACCCAGAAGCGAAGTGCCCCATTGACCCCCTTGATATAGAGGACGTGGGAGATTCCGAGGATTTCGAAGGCATGGGAACCCGTTTCTGGAACTGGTTTGTTTTTTCCTGAATTGGACTTCCCGTTGCCGGATGCTACGTGTTGCTTGTAGAGTTGTGGAAGACGATCAATGGATATGAGGTATGTTGCCAATGGTTCCGGTGCAGAAGCACGTGTGCAGCATGCGAGCGACATGTTTAGTTCAATGATAGGACGGTCAGAGTGTCCATTGCCATGGCGTCCGCACTTGTAGAGATCCGTTGCCTGCTCATCGGATGTCGGCCTCGCGCCTCCACGATTCCTGCCCGAGGTTTCTAGCAGTCGCCTGGGGTTTCCCTGGAGCCCCCCCTGCTTTCTGGAGGCGACCTCGTCGCTGCCCTGGAACACTGGGCGTCGAAGGCCAAACCCGCACATCGTGTGGAGCATCGTTCTGCCTGTGGAGCACCGATGCTGCGTCGATGCTCCACCGGCAGAGGCCCTGCTCCGCTCGCGGGGTGGGGGGCCGACCCTGGCCGCGAGCCTCGACTCCACCGCAGGGGCACGCACGCGTCCTGCTCGGAGGGCCCTCGCGGCCACTGTGCGTGCCAGTGCCGCCGGAGCCCTGCGCGGACTTCGTCGTCCCAGCGTGCTTGCTGCTGCTGGCTGCCCGACTGAAGGATTGCGTCAGGGAGACGCGTGGGCAAGACTGCAGGTATGACAACAGGGAGTGGCACGGAAAGAAGCGCAACCAGACTCAGACAGACCCTGGCGGGTCGCAGGGGGTGGGGACGGGAGGAAGGGCGGGGAGGAAGGACGGTGTGTCCTTGCTGCTGCGTGTCGGTGCTTTCTGCGGGCTGCTGCCATCTGCCTTCGCTTCCCGTTCCAGCTCCCTGCTGTTACTTGCTTGCCTGCCTGCTGCTGCTTACTGGTGCTGGCTCCGCTGATTGTTGTTGCTGGCAGCGCGTCTTATTACTGGTACTAGTTCGGGGGTTCAGGGCGGTCGCTGGGCGTCTTGGCGTACTCATAGGGCCTAATAATTGGGTTGTCGTCGGTGGGTCCGATGGTCCTCTAAGGGCGTATTGAGGCGTCTGGGGATCTTCTTGAGCTCCGAGGCCCCTCTCGTGTGCAGTGGTGCATTCTGCCAGCACTGATGCGCATGCAGCTTGCCTTGGATCTATCACGGTGGTTTCATTGTCCAAGCATCTCGGTGGCGACCTCAGCCGTCGCAGTCGGATGTTTTGGCGACCTTCCGGTCACAGCCTCAGGCGCATGGGTCCCGACATAATGCGTACGTGCTTGGTTTGCGCACGGTGTCTTAAGGCTTATCGTGAGGATGCGGCTGGAATTCTGCCACAGTTGGAGGGTCGGAAGCAGAGGGTCAATTCGCCAATAGTCTAGACGTTTGAGAGCCCCAGGCGCAGAGCGAGAAGGAGGAAGGCGGAAGGGGAGGATGAGGGAGAAAGGAGAGGCAAGGGATTGCGATGCGCAAGCGAGGATGGACGAGAAAGGGAGCACGGAGGAGTGAGGTAGGAGGGACGCCTCGCGTTTGCCCGCTCCGTCCGATACAGGGCCCCCGTGAGAGCTCCCGTCAGACACTCGGTGCGTTCGCGGCTCGCCTCGGGGTCCGTCACGTTGGTTCCAGCGTTGTCCGTTTCGAGAGGCAGGGAGGAGAGGGAGATGAGGGAGGGAGGGGGAGCGGCAGAGGTGGCCAGAGAGGGGAGGCTCGGTGGAGGGATGGGGAGCAGCTAGCTGTTGGGAGCCCCTGTGGAGAGAGAGAGAGAGAGAGGTGTTTTGGTTTCTTCGGGCTCTCTGGGGTGTGGGTTTCTTCGGGTTCTCTGGGTTCGTGGAGAGTCTTCTTGGCTTCTGGGCGCTTGGAGAATTACCTGGAGCATCTCGGGGCCTTCGGCGGGCATAGTGGAGCCGTCCACTAAGCCTCTTGTGGCGTCTTTGAGTCTTCGGGCCATCTTGGAGCCTCGCGCAGCCATCCTGGAACTTCATTGCCAGACCCTGCTTTCGGTAGAGACGGTGCGATCGCGGGCGTACGAAGCCCACTGAATTTTTCGCGCCAAGCCCCTCTCCCACGACTCCTCTTTGAAACCCTGCAGGCATCTCTGCGGATGCCGACGGCCCTCGGTGTCGCGGTGCCAGCTCCACTGACGCCCGGGTGGCCCGCCGCGGCGCCGGCAGCACCGTGCACGCCATCGGCGCTCCCCAGAGCCGCCGCGCTGGCGCCGCAGACGCCCACGTTCGAGGTGGCGGCGCCAATGACGCCGACGGCGGCGCTGCGGCTCGAGACCTGCAGGGCTGCTGGCGCCGGGGCCGGGCTGCATCGTTGCGGCGCCGCCGCCGCTTGGGCCGCGGTGGCCGTGCTGCAGCTCGGGGCGGCGGCGGTGGCCGGGGAGGGTGCGGCGGCGGCCGCGGAGGCCGGGGCCACGGCGGCGGGGCTGCAGCTGGCGGCGTTCTCCGCCGCCGGTGCGGTGGCGGCCTCCGCCGTCGGCGCGGTGGCGGCCGTGGCGGGCCGCTTGGCGGGCGCTGCTGCCACGCGCCTCTTCAGCTAGGCGGGGTCCAGATGCCCGCCCTCTCCCCATCTCGCGCTTCCTGCTCCAGGTGGCTGCGCGCCACCTCCGCTAATGTGGGAGTATCCCGCTGCCTGCGGGCGAGTCCCGCCACCGTGCAAGCCCAGCAGCGCGCTTGGCGGGTGTTCAGGGGTCGCACAGGAGGCCGTAACGTGTGACACCTCGCGCCCCGAGGCTAGGGAGAGCCGTGACATGCGACACACTCTTCCGACCCGTGCCGTGGGTTCTCTGCCCATCGGGGTCGTCCTGGGAGGTGCTCCCAGACATGCCCGCGTCGTGACAAAATCCCCGACGGGGGGTTGTTGAGCCGTCTCCCCGCGCCCGCGGGCCGCTGAAAACGAACCTCGGGCTGAAGACTTGGCCCCAGGGAAGAGGTCCAGACCGCTGGGGCCCCACGCTGTGAAAAATCGTGACGTCAGAAGGGACTGGGTTTGGGGGTGTTTGGACCCGTCCCCAGGTGATCTTCAGCCGACAAGCACGCGAAGCGAAGGACATTGAGTGCATGATGCCTTTGTGCATGTTTGTTCTGCTTCCGACGCCCACTCTGGAGGCCCCTCTGCCACCCCTGGGCTTTTCTCTTGGGGGCATATCAGGTGCTTCTTTGGGAAGGACATTGGACCGTTTTTGGATGGTCTTGGACAGTCTTGGGGCATTCTTGCGGGGTCTTGGGTCCGTCTTCGGACAGAGAAGAGTGCCCGGGAGCAAAGCAAGGTGGGCAACTTGTTTTAGGATGGTTGTTGGTAGAGGGGTTGCCTTCGGGCAAAACCTGACACAGACAACCAACCATCATTTCAACACCCCACTCGTGCAGGCACGGTGGCGGATTCGTCGGCGTTCCCTGATGATGCACGTCTGTTTAGGGCCTCTGGGGCGAGAGATGAGCTCTTTCTACTCGGAAGGCGTGGGCGACCTTTGCCGACTGGCTGTGGAAAAGAGCTGCGACAAAAATAAGGGCGCGCACGAGGCCGCCGGGGCGCTCCGAGCTGCCGACCAGACTCTCGGCGAGTAGCTTCACATGGGAGGTCCACGCTCGACCGCTCTGTTGAGCTCCGCCTGTATTCCCCATCCATTCATGCGCTGCTCCATCTATCCTGCTACTTGCGCTGCTTCTCGGGGTATCATTTCGCCTCTTCCCCCTCCCTGTTCCTCCTCCTCCTCCAGCCCCCAACAGCCTCTCCCTTCTCCTCCAGCCTCCTCCTCGCCCTCCTCCTCCTCCCCCTCCTCCTCCTCCTCCTCATCCTCCTCCTCACTCCTCCTCCTCCTCCTCCTCCTCCTCCTCCTCTCCTCCTCCTCCTCCTCCTCCTGCTCCTGCTTTTGCGCTTCCCGCCCTCCCTCCCCCCCGTCCCGCCTCCCTGCTCTCTCCCTCCCTTGCCCCCCCCCCTCCCAAACCAAGCCTGCCCGCCTCCTCGCCCCCGCTGGGCGGCGGGCGCCCGCCGCCAGGGCGTGCCCACGCTCGACCCCGCCGTCATGCTGGAGATCCTCGGGGACGAGGAGCTGCAGCGCGCGGCCCAGGACCCGGAGGCCCGCGCCGCCCGCCGACTGCCAGAACGCGCCGAGCCCGGGCCGCCTCGCCTCTCGCGCGGCAGTGGCAGCGCGGCGGCGGCGGTGGCGCGCTGCAGCGCGAGTGGGCCGGCAGAGTGCAGCGCAGGGCGCGGCCTCTCGGCGTCGGCGAGGGGGGCGTCGTCGTCGTCGTCGTCGTCGTCGTCGTCGTCGTCGTCGTCGTCGTCGTCGTCGTCGTCGTCGTCGTCGTCGAAGGTCGGGAAAGGCGGCGTGCCGGCCACAGAGGATAAGAGAACGGCGGCGCGGGGCGAGGAGGTGGCGGGCCGGCGCCGCCCCCGCCGAGGCGGCAGCTGTGGGGCGAGCAGGGGAGCGGCAGTCGCGCTGGACTCGCGCAAGCGCGCGGGAGTGCAGCGCAGGGCGCGGCCACGCAGCGTCGGGGAGGGGGACCGCGGGGGGAGGGGGGGAGATTTTTTTTAGATTGCGCATCTGATTCGCCTGGTGACGGTCAGAGAAAAAGCGGCGCTGCAACTAGCAGACTTAAAAGTCTGCACGGGCACCAAGTGAACAAGTACAGTACAGTACCTCCTTCCCACCTCCCAAGCTCCTGACTGCCCCCCCCCATAATAGGCAACTGGACGGCAAACGCTAAAGGCGGCGACAAATAATGACGTACTGTGCCTCGCCCAGGGCACTAAGGAGGAGGGGAGCGAGGAAGGGAGGGCAACATGATGATGTGAGGGAGCAGAGGAGGAAAGGCTGGGACACAGACCACGTCTCCTACAGAAACGCACTCCCTGCAAGCTCCTCCGAAAGTCCTCCACTCCTCAGATCCACTCCTCCCGATTTCCCACAGAGAGACTGTCCGGCCTCGGCGCGAGCCCTCGAATATGGCTCTGGCAGACAACTGGCAGGAGCTCATAGAAGGTATGACGGCCGTGGCGCGGCTACTCGGGTACTCGGGGGGGGAGGGAATGGAGGGAAGGGGAATGCGGAGGGATAAAATATGAACCGAGAGGAGAGAGCGAGACTGGGACGCAGATCCAAACTTCCAGCTCGGCAGGAGAGCAGTACGGGGGAGGGAGAGCCGCGAGAAGTCTGCCTGACCACTCCGGCCCGTCTGCTCACCTAGAAGGCGGTGCTGCACAAGGAACGTACAACAACAGTTCGTCTTTCCTGAGAGGGGAAAGAAAATCTTCGCGCCTAGCCTTCCGGAGCGAACGACAGGACGGCGGCGAAAAAACGCACGATTATCGTCACGCTAGTCCGAGGAAGGGCGCGGGAGGGCCGACATGGCACAATAACAGAAGCACTGCAACGGCCAACGACCCTCGGTCCTCCATCCGGCTCCCCATCCTCTCCACGCAAAATCCCCCACCCTTCAACTGGGCAACTGGACGGCAAACGCGAAAAGCTGCGACAGTGGCTTGCTGTGCCCGTCCAGGGCATTCGGGCGGAGGGGCGGAGGGAGGGAGGGGGAAGTAAGTAAGGCTGGGACGCAGGTCACATTCCCTACTCGAGATTGCCGACGAATGGCAACGACTCAGCTTGGCATCTATGAGGCATGGCGGTACCGCAGTGAGAACACCATGCGGAAACTCCCGAGACAGGCGGCCGTCAAAGCGGCCGACGGCCGAGGAGGAAGATCCATCGCACGGCACTCGCAGGAGGAATCTTCTTCGCACCTACGCACGGCATTCCCTTCCCGAACCATCCTGAACCCCCACCCTCAACAATACGCAGCTTGGCCGGCAAACGCTAAAGGGGCTTGCTGCAACGGCCTGGGCACTGTGGAGTAGGGGCGGGAAGAGGAGGAATAATGATGGATGAGGCTGCAGAGGAGGAGAGGGTAAGGCTGGGACGACCACCTCGGCCCTGAGCCTTCAGAAAAAGTCGCGGCGTGGGAGCGAAGCTGCAGGCACTCGATCGCCGCTCGGCCCCCCACTCACGCCTCACTTCGATCACCGCTCGGCCCTCGCCTCACGCCTCCCCGAACCTGCACAGCGGCGGCGCCGGGAGGGCCTCCAGGGTCCAGCGCGGCCCGCCGCCCGACGGCCTCATCCACCAGGCGCCGCAGCTCGCACGCCCTCCACCGGAAGTCCTGCACCTGCGGGGAGTGTGGGGCCGCCTTCTCCCTCCAGTACAGCACGGCCTCGACCCTGGACAGCTGCTGCTTAAGGAGGCGGACCGCGCCGTCCGCCGCCTGGATGTCCGTGGTAGGCTGCACGCGCTGCACCCTCTGCATCGCCGTAGGCGGAGCAGCCGTGGGCGCGGCGACCACCTCGTCGACGCGCGGCTGACCCTCACCGGCACCGCGCGCAGCGGCGGCGCGGCGTCTGGGCCACGCGTTCCGGCATGCCGTCGCCTGGCACCTGGCAGTCAAAGACACGACAGCGGCGGTGGCCTGTGCCTCAGCCGTCACCTGCTGCACGATCTCGTCCTCCTCGGTGGCGAGCCGCACGCGCGAGCCCGATCGCGGACGCGGCTCGGCCTCGGGCTGGCAGCGGCGGCGACGGCGCGAGGCCGACCGCAGGCGGCCATCGCCCTGCTGGCCCGCGCCCGCATGTCGAGGCTCTCCAGGTGGCGGCGGCGGTAGCACACGAGGCTGCTGCAGCAAAGGCGCCGGACTCGGTGATGTAGGTGGAGGGCACACGAGCACGAGCTTGCAAACCGCAAATGGCTCAGCAAGAGCATCACGAGCACGATCACGAGCACGGGCCTCGCCCGCAGCCGCAGCCTCCAGCTCCGGCGCACCAGCGCGACCAGCAAGATGAGGCTCGCGATCGGCATGAGCAGCGACGCGAGCGAGACTGGCCACGTCGCTCATGAGCGGCCGGCGACCAGTCCGGGCAGCGAAGCCGAGCCTGCGCACAGCGGCGCGCAGGCCCGGTCTCGGCTGGTCGCCATGGCGCCAGCCGGAAGACTCTCGGTGCGCGCGGCTAGCCCTCCACTCGCCTGGGCACGGCGAGGCGAGGCGGCCGGCACGCATGGCTGCCCGCCCCGCGCGAGGTGCGCTGCTCCTGGAGCAGTCCCAAACACCTCGGACCGGGGCGGCAGCTGGAGGGGGGGAGGGGGAAGGAGGCGAGGGGGGGAGGGAAGAAGAGGGAGGAGGGGGGGGGAGAGGGCGAGGGTGGGAGGGGATGGGGGGGAGGAGGCGGATGCGGAGGCGGAGGGGGAGGGCCAGCGTGGGCCCTTTGGGCCCTTGGGGGAGAGGTCGTGTATTTTTCCACTCCCAGCCTTTTTGGTCGATTGCGGCCACGGGGGGGTCCGTATTCGGGCCCCTGGGCCGTCAGCGAACGACCCATGAACAATCGCTGGCACCTCGGAGAGGGACAGGGACTCCTGAGACCCACGGACTGAAACAGCACACGGTGTCGGAGGTCTGGTCATGAGAAGGGGCGTCCGACTTGGTTGGCACTTGTGGGCCGAGAAGGCGTACAGCCCAAAGGTGCCCGCACGCACGGCGGCTAATCTCTGGGCGTGCTTCCAAGGCCAGGTCAGTCGAAGTTGTGGGCGCGCGCCACTGTTGGGATCGGGAGTCACAGCGGTCTCGAGGTTCCCAGGGGGCAGGACAGTCAAGGCGACCGCGTGCCATACGTCCGTTGTCTTCCTGGGCATGTCTGTCTGTGTGTGTGTGTGTTTGTCTGCGCGTGTGCGTGCGTGCGTGCGTGCGTGCGTGCGTGCGTGCGTGCGTGCGTGCGTGCGTGCGTGCGTGCGTGCGTACGTGCGCGCGCGCGCGTGTGTGTGTGTGTGTGTGTGTTTGTGTGTGTGCGCGCGCGTGCGTGTGTGTGTGTGTGTGTGTGTGTGTGTTCGTGTGCGCGCGTGTGCGTGTGTGTGTGTGGTGTGTGGTGTGTGGTGTGCGTGTGTGTGCGTGTGCGCGTGTGTGTGTGTGTGGTGTGTGGTGTGTGGTGTGTGGTGTGGTGTGTGTGGTGTTTGTGTGTGTGTGTGTGTGGTGTGTGAGTGTGTGCGCGACGTGTGTCTCCTCTTTCCCCTTCCTGCGTCCCCCTCGCGACTGCCCTCTCGCGAGTGTGGCCGTCCGATCCCCCATGGGTGGATTTGGCTTCTCCATGCTGCGTGAGCTGACCCGGCCCGCGCGCCTCTCTTCCCTGAGCGCTGCCCTACTCCGCGCTGCCGCGCCCGTGTCCGCGACGCCAGAAATGTGTGCGTTGTGCGTGCGTTGTGTGGAAGCGATGCCGCCCCGCGCCCACTACCAGGGGGATGGAGCCCTGGCTTGCCGCCCCGGCCGCTTCAAGGCGATGCACCTCGCCCTGTGAGCGGTCTCCGTTTCCCCCCTTTTCCCCGCGGCCTCCCGTCTGTTCCTTTCCTCCTCGTCTCGTGCCGCCCGACAATTCGCGCTTGCCCTCTCCTGGCCGCTTGAGCCCGCGTGCGGACTGCCTCTGCTGCGCTGCGCCGTAAAGCAATTGTGCGTTGTGTGTGCCCCCCTGGTGTTGGCGCTCCTGTCCATCCGTGGACCCGCTTGCTCGCTACCTGCTGACGCCCTGCGCCACGCCGCTCCCCCTTTTGGCGTGGTTCCGCTTCTTTTTGTCCGCATCCGCCGCCCTTACTCTGATCTACGGTTCCTCCATTCGCGGCGCTATCGTGGCTGCCTGCGTCCTGCTTCCGCCTCCCGCCGCGCCTCCTAGGCCCTTCGGTCTCGGCGCTTTGCTTCATCTCTGGGACCGATGCCCACTGGTCCACAGTGATGTGGTCTCCGCTTCACATGTATTGCTCCCGCTTTCGGCCGCCTGGTCTGCCAGGCTGCCGTTCCCCCAAGCTGCTGCTCAGTGCCGCCGTTGGTCCCCCCACCCCACACGGCGCTCCCCTTTGCCGCAGCTGGTGACTTGCCTCAGCGGGCTCGGTTTCCTCTCTCCCCGTCGCGCTGGGGCCTCTTCCTCCCCGTGCATTGTGGCATTGATTTGCATACACAGCGCACCTTGTTGCCAGATCTGCGGAGCAGTCACCCTCTGCCCAGCCGCCGACGCAACAAAGTGTGTGTGTGTGTGTATATGTGTGTGTGCGTGCATGCGTGCGTGTGTGTTTGTGTGTGTTTTTGTTGTGTGTGTGTGGGTGTGTGGGCGTGTGGGTGTGTGGGTGTGTGGGTGTGTGGGTGTGTGGGTGTGTGGGTGTGTGCGGGTGCGGGTGCGGGTGCGGGTGCGGGTGCGGGTGCGGGTGCGTGTGCGCGTGCGCGTGCGCGTGCACGTGCGCGTGCGCGTGCGCGTGCGCGTGCGCGTGCGCGTGCGAGTGCGCGTGCGCGTGTGCGTGCGCGTGTGCGTGCGCGTGTGCGTGCGCGTGCGTGTGCGTGTGCGTGTGCGTGTGCGTGTGCGTGTGCGTGTGCGTGTGCGTGTGCGTGTGCGTGTGCGTTTGCGTGTGTGTGTGTGTGTGCGTGTGTGTGTGTGTGTGTGTGTGTGTGTGTGTGTGTGTGTGTGTGTGTGTGTGTGTGTGGGTGGCCGTGCGTGCGTGTTCGTGCGTGCGTGCGTGCGTGCGTGCGTGCGCGTGCCTGCGTGCCTGCGTGCGTGCGTGCGTGCGTGCGTGCGCGCGTGTGTGTGATTGTGTGTGTGCGTGTGTGCGTGAATGTGTGTGTGTGTGAGTGTGTGTGTGTGTGCGGGGCCGTGCGCGGTGCTACTGGATTTTCTTCGCCTCGTCGCTGCGCGCGAGGCCGCGGCCGGTCAAAAGTGCGTGCGTGTATTTTCCCGACGAGGTTTCGCCAGCCGCCTCCGAAGAGACGGTTGGCGGCCTACGGACAGTCTGGCCACGAGTCCTCGCGCGATGTGGTGGCGCCCCTCGGCGCCTCCCGCCTCCATATTCACGATGTGCGAGCTGGCCGCTCTCGCAAGAGAGCCGGGCCGGAACTACAGCCGCGTCGCCTGGTGGGCGTTCGACTTTAGTAGACTCGGTTTACTTGCGTGGAACTTCGCCCCCCCCATTCCCCCCATCTCCTCCGCGTTTTCAAACAGCGCTGGGCCGAACAAACGTGCAGGTTTGTGCCAGTTTGCGTGTAGTCCATGTTTTCTTTCGGGCCTCGCCACGCCCCTCCCCTCCGCCTTCCATGCAAGTAAACATGCCGGACTCTAGAGAAAAACGATCGCCTGGTGGGCTGCGGACGCCGCCACATGGGCGCAAACACCCAAGAACCTCTACCATCCGCTTACACCGTGGCAACCCCGAGCCCCTGGCCGTGCCAGAGGCGATGGCCGTCATGCAGGACGTCATGATGAACCCCGACAACCTGGACAGGCGGCGCCCCCCCGGGACCCTGTGGAGACGGGTCTCGGGCCGTCGTCGCCTTCCGCTTTTCCCCGCCCCTCCCCAACCGCCTCCCCCCTTCAAGCGAGATGATTTCTGCCCCCCGCGAAAGGGGGGAACGGGAGGAGGGTCACAGCCAGTCATCCCGCGCGCCTTCTCGCCCCTGGCGGGTGGGTGGTTTGCGAACACTACAGCGTGTTGCCAGGATCACGGTGCCGCTCTCGGCTTACCTGCCGTCGCCAGCGGGCGCGCGATATTATTGCGGTAGGGGGGGCAGGCCGCGCGTCGCGCGGCTCGGTGCCGCGGTGGAGAGGTATCGCCGATAGGCGGTGCGTAGCAGCAGGCGTGGGAGGAGGAATGGGGAGCGATGAGGAGGGAGGAGGAAGGGGGAGGGGAAGGCGGGAGGGGGAGGCGGAGAAGGAGGAGGAGGAGCAGGAGGAGGATGCAGAGGGCGAGGATCTAGCATGGATCTAGCACTCCGACGGGTCAGGAGCCAGCGAGCCGACTAACGCTCGAGCGAGGACGCACCACAAATCCAAAGGCCGTCCCTGGCGATGAGGCGGAGCGACGAATCAAATTGTTGAGCTGAAGCTGACGTTGCCGCTGCCGCTCACTTGTGGGCCGATAGAGGCGGGGAGAGCAATGTCAAGGGCGCCCTCGAGGGCGCGACGTTCGCGAAGTTATTCGCGCTTCGCGATTCGGCTCCGATTCCTCCTCATCCTCCTCTTCTCCCCTGGGAGGCGGCGCGAGAGCGCGACGTTATTCGCACTTCGCGCTTCGCGAAGCGCGCAGCGCGAAGTTGGGAGCCCTTGGCAAGGCGGAGGAAAGTAGGAAGACCGAGCGAGGGAGGAGAGATTCCGGTGGAGGGCAGCCCTCCGCGCGCCAGAGCTTCGGAGGGCTCCTGCCAAGAGCGGGAGGGGATCTAGTCTGGAGAAGCCCGACTTGGTGGTTTTCTCGGCGCGGGGCGCCCTCAGATTCTATTTTTTCCCGAGGGCCGGGCTCACTCTGGAAAAGCGTTCCATGAGTCTGGAACTTCATGATATGGGTAATCGTGCGCCTCGCGCTTCCAGACCCAAGCTCGAGTCCACGACGCTCCTTGGCGTCGCGTTGATGCCGCCCCGATTTGCCAGACCGCATATGCACATATACCCATGATATGTGTTTCAACGTTTGTTTCATGACCCTCTCCATATAGTAACAAACCCACGTTGGAATCCAATCCATGACGGCTTGCAAGGTCTAGTGTGGACCGGTTCGCCCGATTATCCCTCCGTCCAAGAGTCACAGCGGCGCTTTTCGACCTGCCCTTCGGTTGCCCTGGGATCGCACGAAGCTCTGTGGGCCAGAATGTCAGCCATAGTGAGGAGCGTGCAGCCTTATTTATAGATCGTTGAATCGAACGTCTCCTGTGGGATTTGTCCAGGATGGCAGAGGTCTGCGAGAAGCCACTCGAGCCAGGGGCCGTCTGGGAAGGAATTTGGGTCTCTTTGAGGCCTCTTGAGCGCTCGTGGGCCATCTTAGGGCCCTTTCGGGCCGTCTAGGGCCTCTCTTGGGAGGCGTTTGGATAGTGTTGGGGCGTCTGGTGTCGTTCTTCGGGAGACCTGGGGAGAACCGGAAAATCCTTCAAGCACGTAAGGGAATCGACGATTTGGGCATCGTTGGGCCGTCTTCGAGGTCCTTTTGGGCCGTTTTGGGAGGCCTCCTGGCTTGTCTTGGGGCCGTCTTGAGCAATTTTGAGGCACGCTCGGGGTGCTCTGGGGCCGCTCGGGCGCTCTCTTGCGTGTCTCTGAGCCGTCGTTCGACGTCTGGGAACCTTCTGGCGGCCGTCCAGGGCCGTCAGGGACCGCCCTGGGAGCGCCGGCGCCTGTACAGGGGCGCCCCGAGAACGCCGGAAGCCGTCCTAGGGCGAGGCACGGCAGCGCAATCGATGTGCCGCTCAGTGCCGCCCGTCTCGCGCGAACTGCTCCCAGCCTCTTCGCCGACACGCCGTTGCCCTCCTCGCATGACCGACCTCCAGCGTTGTAGCTGATATGGCGCTCACTGCCTTCCTTCTCGCACGAAAAGCCCTCAACCTTGTAGCTGTCTTCCGCTCACTGCCGCTCTTCTCGCACGGGCTATTCCCCGCGTTGTCGCTGATCTGTCGCGCACGGCCGCCCAGGACCGCCCCTTGAGCGCTGGAGCTTGTTTAGGGGCGCTAATATTTCGGGTGTCTCTTGGGCCGTGCCGGGGGGATCTTGGGTCCGCTGCGGCAGTTTGAGCGGCAGTTTGAACGCCTCTGGGGCCGTTCCCGGCTGTCCCCCAGAGCCTCGTCTGGACAGCCCGGGAAGCTTCTTTTGGAATCGCCTTGTAGCCTTGCGTGAGTCCTCGGGGCTCTCAAGGTCTCAGTGTCTCAGTGGGACTCTTTCGGGGCCTTTTTGGAGGGAACTTTGGGCTCTTCGGGGCCGTCTTCGGGCGTTCTTGGGCCATCGTGTGGCCCTTTTGGGCCGTCTAGGGCTTCTCTTGGGAGGCCCTTGCGCAGTGGCGATCTAAGAGGCGCTGAGAGTTGTCTGGCGCCGTTCTTAATTAGGGAGACCTGGGGAGAACCGGAAAATCTTTCGAGCACGTAAGGGAATCGACGATTTGGGCATCGTTTCCCGTCGTTGAGGTCCTTTCGGGCCGTTTTGGGAAGCCTCCTGGCTTGTCTTGGGGCCGTCTTGAGCAATTTTGAGGCACGCTCGGGGTGCTCTGGGGCCGCTCGGGCGCTCTCTTGCGTGTCTCTGAGCCGCCGCTGGGCGTCTGGGAGCCTTCTTGCGGCCGTCCAGGGCCGTCTGGGACCGCCCCAGGAGCGCCGGCGCCCCGAGAGCGCCAGAAGCCGCCCCAGGCCTACGCACAGAAGCGCAATCCCGTGAGCATTGATCCCGCCCACTGCCGCCCTTCTCGCACGCACTGCTCCCAGCCTCTTAGCCGACATGCCGCTCACTGCCGCCCTGATCACATGACCGGCCTCCAGCGTTGTAGCTGAGATGTCGCCCACTGCCCTCTTCTCGCACGAAGTGCCCTCAGCGTTGCAGCTGTCTTTCGCTCACTGCCGCTCTTCTCGCACGGGCTATTCCCAGCGTTGTCGCTGATCTGTCTCGCACGGCCGCCCCTCTCGCACGAACTACTACGAGCGTTGTAGCTGATATGTCGTTAGCTTCCGCCTTTCTCGCATGGACTATAGACCGTGCCAGTCCTGCCTGCTATCTCGCACGAACCGCTTCCAGCAATGTAGCTGCTGGTGCTCGGCTCCTGCTGCTCTCTCTGGTGGGGACTGAGGTTACTGGTGCACCTGCTGCCCCTGCCCTTCTCGCATGAACCACTCCCAGCGTTTGTAGCTGTTGTGTCGCTCACTGCCGTCCTTCGCGCATGACGTACTGCCAGCGTCGTAGCTGATGTGCCGCTCACTGCCGCCTTTCTCGCATGAAGCTGAAAGTGCATGCCCACGCATCGCTTCTTGCATTGACAGCGTTTGTTGTCAGTGCGTGGCCTTCTCGCATGCTGTAGTTGATGACTGTCGGCGCCGCTGGGCCTGTCACGTCTCGCCCAGCCCCACTCTGCACGCAACCACGAACCGCTCTTCTCACATGCGCACACTCCAATCCAGCGATGTAGAGGATGACGCCTGGGCGCGGTGCCCACAATACGACGGCATCATTGCCTGCATTCTTGCGTGCGCCGACCCAAGCGCTTTAGCGGATGGCGTCGGGGTGTGGTGCCGACAATCCGTTCGCGTCAATGCTTGCTTTCGCGCATGACATCTGCTGCCACGGGCTGCCCTCCCGCACGATGGGATCCCTGCAATGTAGCTGACTAGGGCTGGCCCGTGGGCTACCGTCCACGAGTGCCAGTGGTCAGGGTGTCCGTGCTGCTGCTCGTTACGTCATGGTGCGCTGCTTGCTCGATGATTCTGAGGGCGTCCAGAGCAGCGCTAGCAGTATCAGCGGTAGCAGATCCAGGGGTTCGGGCACTTGCAACAGCGGCAGCTCCACCTCCTCCTCCTCCTCCTCCTCTTCCTCCTCGTGCTTGGCTTGTCCTCCGCCTCCTTCTACTCCTGCTCGTAAGCGCGCTTGGCCCGTCCTCGTTCTTCCTCCTCCTCCTCCTCCTCCTCTCCTCCCCCTCCTCCTCCTGCTCCTCCTCCTCCTCCTCATCATCATCATCACCAGCACCAGCACCAACGCCAGCACCCTCCTCCTCCTCCTCCTCCTCCTCCTCCTCCTCCTCCTCCTCCTCCTCCTCCTCCTCCTCCTCATCGTCCTCCTCTGCCACCTCCAGGAAATCGTGCGGCTCCGACTCTGCGGGCAGGAGCGCTTATGGCGGATGAGGGCGACGACGTGGAGTAGAAGAAGGAGGCCCAACATGATCGGAAACAACCACGCCCCACACCTCTTGGGACACGCTCGGCGCGGGATGGGTTGCAGAAACAGGGTTCGCGAGTGCCCGCAGCTACATTGGACAGCTATTTTCTGCACCCCCTCCCGCGCGAGAGAGGTGTGGGGTGTGGTTTTCTCCAATCATCCGGTGTTTCTGGGAGCCTATTGGGGCAGGTTGGAGAGAGCTGCTGGAGGCCTTACGGGAGCCCGTGGGGCATTGTTTTTTCAACGAGTTGGGGCGAGCCGTTTCGAGGGAAGTGCTGGAGACTTTCCAGGAGCCTCTGGGGAGTGTTCTGGAGGCCGCCTGGGAGCGTCTGGGGGGGCTTGCTGGCAGTGGGGGCGGCGGGGCGAGATGGGGCGGAGAGCGCTCCAGAGTTGGCCATTTTTGGGCCTCCTTTGGGACCATCTTGGGGGGCTCTTCGGCCTTCTTGGGAGTCCCCGCGGCCGACTTGAGGGTCTCTGGGGCCGTCGTAGGGGCTCTCTTGGGAGTTCCCCGGGCGTCCTCCGGAGGAATCGGGAGTCTCCTCGTGGCGGGTTGGGCGTCCTGTGGCCAGAAACGCGATCGCAAGAGGAAGTGGTAAACGCTTAGAACGTATCGAGGCTTTTACGTCTCTCCGAGGCCAGCCGGGAGCCTGGTGGAGATGGGTGGAGGCTTCCCCAGGCCGTCTGGGAGGCCTCGTGCGCTGCAGAGGAATGCGTCCTATTGTAATATTGTAGGGGGGGGGGAACGGGAGGGGGGGGGGGGGGGGGGGGGGGGGCAAATGCGGAGGGAGAGTCCTTCGGGGGATGTCATTTTGGAGGGGAGGGATGGGCAAACGGAGGGTGGGGGAGGGTGGAGGTAGAGGGATGGATGGATGGAGAAGGAGGGTCGGCGGATGAGAAGGGAAGGGCAGGCGGGATGGAGGGAGAGCGGAGCCAGCAGGACGGGAGTGAGAGAAGGGAGGGGAGGGAAAGGGACGGAGAGGGGTTGTTCGGCGGGCTGCGCGAGGCTCGCAGGGGATTCGGAGATGTCGTCGTGAAGCTCTCGTCGTGGCGTGTCCGTTTGAACAGCCCCCCGCTCTCTGAAAGCCACACCAGGCGGGCACAGTGGCGCAGGGCCGGCGAAGAAGAAGACGACGACCACCACCGCCGACGACGGCGGCGCCGACGACGGCGACGCGCGAGGCACACTGGCAACCCCCGGGTCCAGGAGGTCGTGGGCAGGCTGAGGAAGCACCTGCGGCGAGCCCCCGCGCCGATGGCCGACTGAGCTTTGCCCCGCGCCCTCCGCCGCCCCCGCGGCGCCCGACGGCATCTCCGATTTTCGGGCGGCGCGCGCCCCCCCCCGCTGCTGCGCACCCGCTGGTCTCCGAGGCGGGGGCCTCTGCATCAGCCACGCGCAGGGGGGGGGAGGGAGGGGGGAGGGCTTTCTTAGAGGTATCCCTGCTTCTCAGAAGGCGCGGGCCTTTTTTCTATAGACGCAAGGCCGGCGCATTCTAAGGAGCAGCCTCCTTCTCAGAAGCCTCCCCCCTCCCTCCACCCGCGTGTGCGCGCCGCCAAAGCACCGCCGCCTGGGGATCGATCTTCTGGGGACCTCAGCAGGCGGTGGATATGGTTGCATTCGGGCCCTCGGGGGCCAAGTATTTTGTGCGGCAAGGAATTCCCCGAGGGAGCCTCAAGTGATTATCACGTGTTTCATTCATTTCGGGACCCGACCTTTGCGGCGGCCCGCGGCTGTAACCGCATGGCCGGCCGCCAGGATGTGGGTCGCGCCAGCTCTTCTGGCCAGCCTGACTCGCTCGTCGTCCCGAGCCTCCCATCTCTGCCACCACTCTCGGGGGGCCACGTCTACCCACATCCGCCGCCTGCTGAGCCCCCCGAGCATCGCTACCCCCGGCGGTGGTGGTGGAGAGGTCCCCGCCTCGCACCGTCGGCCGCCACGCCGCCGCGCGGTGCGGCGGCGCGGCTGCCGGCTCGAGCAGCCGAGCGCCGAAGAAGAGGGCGGACCCTGGGGCAAGGCGGGGCCCAGGGGTGCCAGCGAGTCTTCCGTGTTACGCGCCTGCATTTGCAGGTGCAGCGCACACGTACACGCCGGTCGTTGAAAGTAGGTATTTTTGGATTCCCAGATCCCAATCTACGTCAAGCGCCTTCCTGCTTCAAGAATCGGCACGTTCTTACTGTGTTTTGTTGTTCTCGGGGGGGGGCCTGGGCCCAATCAACTTAATCCGCCTTCCTACTTCATGTTTTCGTCTACTTCTTCCGACCGACGTGTAGTTTTTCGTGCGTGCTCTTGCAGGTGCAGCGCACATGTATCGAACAATCCTGCGGCGGGTCGCCGCCTCCCTGAAGAGGATCCTGCAGGGCGACCTGGGGGCGTACACGCCGACCCGTGGCATCATGGTAGGCTTGACCAGGATGGGTGGAGGGGTATGTTACAGGTGGTGCTACCCTCCTTAGAGGGCCCCGGAAACGGCAGGGCCAGTTTTTTTCACCGTTTCCGGAAAAGTTACCCTTGAAAACGGAAACGGCAGAAAAACGGCGACTGGAAACGGCAACAACAACGGCTCCAGGATTGGAACCGGAGCGGGAACCCGTAAAAGAACAGCGACGGAACCGGTAACAAAAACGGCGTGGGAATTGGCAACAAAAACGGCAAGACGGAACCGGTAACAAAAATGGCCTTGTCGTTTCAGTGTCCATCAGCCCTCCCGCGCGTTGACGCAACTCCTCGATTGTGACGTGAACAACGCGGGCGCCCCATATGGAAGCCCCTTGGATCGTAGAGCCAAAAGTCGGGCTGCAAAGGTCGTCTCCTGCCGCTGCCAAGGGCTACTCTGGGGGGCCGGAGAATGCAGGCCCCGATCTTCCAGCCGCTCCCGCACAATGGGAGGGGGGACTCCAATACACGTTCTGTCGTCGCGGGGCCGGCGATCTCTCGGCGCGGGGAGGCATGCGCAGGTCGGGAGTTGACCTTTGGTGCCGGGCCCACTGGGGTCCCCCGATCGCCGGGCGCGAGGCGGCAGTGGCGTCTTGCGCGCCTGGATATGGCCCCCCCCCCCCGCGGCCCCTGGAAAACAGCGCAGCAAAGGTCACTCTTGCCCAGCGTCACTCTTGCGCGTGGCCGAGGGAGTTCGGGATGCGGCACGGCAAATCATCACCTCAGAGGGGTGTGGGGCCGGGGGGGCGGCGAGGACGGCTGCGGAGAGGGGATCGCGGGCAAGGGGGGGAAGGGGGGGCGAAGCCGCTCCGAGTGTCTAGCCCAGGGGCTCTAGGGCACGGAAGCGTGGAGGGGGCGAGGCATGCGGAAGGAGCGACCGCCAGCGCCAGCGTCGGGAGGAAGAGCAGGAGGAGGACAGGGAGTGGAGAGCATGCTGCTTCGCGCGAAACGAATGTCAATGGGACATGTCAGTGATGAGGCCATGCTGCCTGTTTGGGTCTTGAGCCGGCCATGATGCACACTCGTGCCTACCCCGCCCCGCCCGCAAGGCCTTCCTTGTCCCCCTGTGGTGGTGGGATGGGAAGGCGGGGCCGGCAACGGGAGCGCGAGGGTCGGGGCCAGAGGAGGACTCGGAGGGGGAGGATGTGGTTGCTATGCCCATTTCAGCCTCTCCTCCTCCTGCGCCTCGCTCTCACCTCCCCTGCTCCGCGGCCGTCTCGGATCGCAGGGCCCTTGAGCTGTGTGGCGCGCCGGCAGCGGGCGCGCGCGAGCCCCCGCAAAAAGAAAGATATCGTGCTCTCTCGCAGCTACTCCGTCGAGCCAGGCCGCGGCATCGAGCCGTGGCTGGCGAGCGACCGCCTGGAGGGCATCCTGCGCTGGCCCGACAACGTACCGCCCGTGCCCGACTGAAGCGCCCTGGGCGGCGACTGAATCCGCGCCGAGGACTTGCCGCGAGGCCGAAGCTGGCGGAGGCACGGGGCCAGGGGGCGGAAGCAGGCGGAAGGTAACGCGTGCCTGCGGGCCCCCAAGCCTTGCGGGCCATGGCCGAGCAGGACTGCGAGTTCCCCGGGCCGCAGGAGCTGGAGTGGCCAGCGCGCGAGAGGCCCCGGCGCGCCGATCTCGCCAGAGAGCGCGCGATCGTGAACAGCGAGCACATCAAGAGGGGCGACGCCCTCGAGCAGGACGCGGCGCGCGCCCTGGTCGGCGAGGTCGACGAGCGCGCGGGCGCCCCTCCGAACGCTGCGGCGATCGAGCCCACCGCGGCCGCCGCCAGGGCTCGAGAGGGCCAGGGCGGGGGCGAGCCTGCCGCCCAACAGCAGCAGGGTCAGAAACGCTGGGCCGAGAGAGTCGAGAAGGCCGAGCACCTGCTGATCGCGGCGCACGCCGAGGCCGCCGCGCACTACATCTACATCGAGGCGTCCAAGCAGGGGGCGGGCGTGGCCGTCGAGCGCCGCGACGCCCGAAGAAGCCGCCTGGGAACGCCGAGCAGGCCGCCGCGAGGATCCCCCGAAAGCTCGGGGCGCCATCGGCACCGGCGAGAAATTCCCTGCAAGCAGCAACAAGATGTTGCAAGCTGGTGGCTAGTCCTGCGAACTCTGGGCGACGAGGTGGGTCGAGCGCTCCTTGCGCGAGATCCGAGGCGAAGGCCGCGAACCGCCCGTCAGCGTCAGCATGGCGCACGCTCGAGGCAACGAGGGGGTCCAGTAGCTTCACGGCGCGAACGACAACCGCTCTGCCAAGGCCAAAGGCAAGGCCAAGAGCAAGGGCAAGGCCAAGGCCAAGACCAAGGGCGAGGGCGAGGGCGGGGCCCAGCCGCCGAAGGACCCGGCCGCGCCTTAGCCCAATCATCGAGCTCTTCCTGGCGAGGAGCGCCAAGGAACCCGAGGGCGCGGGCCAGCTCGAGGACTTGCAAAGTGGAAGCGAGGATATCATCATCACCGCCATCATCGCCATGATCATCATCACCATCATCCGATATGCCCGGAAAGCGTTCATTACCCCCCCTGGACCCCGAATCTCATTTCCCCCAAGGGTTCAGAATCCGGGGCACGTGGATACCAAGCGTTGAGGAAGTATCGACGATGCGCCCAACCCGCCCTACCAATACGTGTGGGTCTGCGACAGGGCGGAATTACGTTTAAGGGAGGGGGGGGGGCGGGCGAAAAGGAGGGTGATGGGGGAAGGACGAGGAGGAAGAGGAGGCAGGAAGACAGGAGAGGAGGAAGGAAAACGATGAAGAAAACGAGGAGGTGCAGAAGGAAGAGGAGGGAAAAGGAGGAGGGGGGACAACCGTCGCACCCCGAGGATCAGCCGCGACGAGAATTGGGGGCTTTGGTCCCCCGCCAGAGCCGTGGATCTCCCTTCCAGCCAAAGGGTTCGTGCAGCGACCTTGGAGCAGCTTCCCGGGACGTGAACATGAGGAACATGTCAACATGTCTCCACTGGGGGGTGGTGGAAAACTGTTGAGTTTTCTGGCCTCCACTGACTGGTGGAGGCCCAGGAAGGCGAACAACATGTCTCAAAACCCTGATCCTCCTTTGTGCTCCCCTCCCTTCCCTCACCTCTCCCTCCCCCCCCCTCCCTCCCCTCTTCCTCCCCTCCCCTCCCCTTCCCTCCTCCTTTCCCTTCCCCTCCCCCCTTCCTGCCTTCGGCCGTCCTCGTAGATATCCATATCCACCACGCCCTGTTTTCCTCGTGCCCTGTCCATCGTGCTCGACGACCGCCACGACGACGACGACGACGACGAGGACGACGACCGCGACGGCGACGACGACAGCGAACGTGGCGGCGATGACGACGGCGGCAGCTCTTCCGGGCACGGCCCCGCCCTCGCGAGCCGCGGGGCGGCCCAGAAACCCCCCGCTTGGAGGGCCGTTCGCGTGCACAGTGCCCCCGCCCTGGCCTGCACCGCGGCGGGGCAGGGGAGCGCCGGGGGACGCGGCCGACGTGGTCGTCGATGTCCTCGCCTTCCCTCGTCATTCTTCTCGGCTTCTTCGGCCTCCGCCATCCATGTTGTTTTCCTCCTTGTCCTCCGCCCTCCTCGTCGTCGTCGTTGTCCTCCTCCGGCGAGATCCGTCGAGAGCTGCCGGGCAAAGCGTCACGCAGGACTGGTCTCACAACGAAGCGGGAGGACCTTTCCTGCCCGATGGGTGTCGTTCTGCACCCGCACCTATTCCCTGGCGCCATTTGTCACCCTGGTCATCCGCTACCCGCTGCTCGTTCTCTTTTGCTTCCACCGCCATTTTATTTCAGGGACGGCTGTTGTCACAAACGGCCCAGGTGGATACATCCAGTGCGCAGTGGGTGATGGTCATGTAAGCGAAATCACAGTCGGTAACATTACTAAATTCTTTTGGTGCCATTATTGCCTAGTATGTCCCAACCTCTAATCTGCAAGACCTGTTCTGGTAACGTATCATTCACTGACCAAGCTTCATTTCTGCTGCAGCTCCTCGTTGCCACTCAGCCTCCCAAGCTAGGGAGATCCAGAGTAGGAGGGCCAGTGAGAAGGAGGAGGAGGAGGAGGACCATAGTAAACCAAAGAAGACGCATGAGCGATGCTGCAACGCACCCTCCCGTCCCAAGTCTCCTCCTCACACGTCCACACACAGCTTCTTTTTCACCCAACAGCGTACCCCTTGAACGACCAGCACAGTTGGGCCTGCTACGTTGCCTGGGGGGCGCTTTGACACGGAATTGCCTTGTTTCATTCTGGCGCGATACCAGCAACGAGAAATGATCAACGCGGTGTCAAGCGATATCCCACCTTCCAGGAAGGACCCCCCCATCCGTGAAACGGCCGCGCAAGCTGGCACTTCTCGCAATGAATTTCGAGGACAGCTCAAGCATCATATCCATTTGAAAGAGAGCCGCCCTGGATCTGTGTAGCGCTAGATGTGTTGGAGTCCCGGGTCGGAATCATTCTTGAAGTCGCCCATGTTGAAGACAGCATGCCCTCCACCGTTCTATACATGTACGAAGGAGCGAATGCGCGCGGCGCTGATGTGGTCGCCCCATTTTGAAACTGACGAGTGCTAAACCTTTGGAACTGCTGCAAGACTTTGATGCGAATGTGCGCGGGGCAAAGGCGAGAACCTCACTTCGAAACGATACCGCCCTTTATCCGTGAAGCGATGGCAACCTGTTAAAGCGAATGTGCGCGACGCTGGGGCGAGCATACCACTTTGAAAACCGTCCCCTGCTATCCCTGAACCTGTTGCAAAGGTGTCAGGCGAACGTACGCGGATTATTACAGCCGAGAGGTTCATTGAACATCTTTTTTTCCCATCTTTTGAAACCATCCCCCCTCAAACCTTCAAGCTGTTGCAAGTTCGAAGCTCCAGGGGTTTTAATGTTGAGGCAGTCTCAGGCGAAATGCTGGGCCCGCTCTATCAACACGTCTGGGGGGTGCGACAGGGAGGAGTTCTTTGAAAGGGCAACGGGTTGAGGAGGAGGACGACGAAGACAACGAGGCAGGGGAGGACGAGGAGGAACGGACGAGGAGGCAGAAGGTGCAGAGAGACGGGGAAGGACAAGAGGAAGGAGGGACAGGGGGGCGGGATGGTGAGGACGGGGGACGCAGGCGAGGCGGCGGATGGGGAGGGCCGCCGCGCGGGCGGCCGGGCCCGGACGGGAAGGGGGCGGGGTGGCGCCCTGGAGCCCGCTGCCGCCAGCAGCTGGGGGCGGGGGGCAGGCCGCCAAGCGATGTACGGCAAGGGCAGAAACAAGGGCTACGGCGGCTACAGCCGTGGGGGCCTCGGGGGCCTTGCGGCGCCGCCGCCGGCGCCGCCGCGTGACCGCCGCCGCCGCGGCCGCCGCTGGCTGTCGAGGCCGCGGCCGCCACCTGCCGCGGCCGCCGCCGCCGCGGCCCGCGGAGGAACGGGAGGAGAATCGGGAGGGGTGGGGGGGGGGGGAGGATGGGGAAGGGGAAGGGGGAGGATTCAAGCAGCGGAGAGGCGTCTTGGCTTGCTTATAGTCCCACCAAAGAGTACTATGAGAACCTTTCGTGGCCTGCACGGAGGGGTCTCAGAACAGGTATGGTTGAGACCGTCTTGTGTGAACGCACTGGCTTTACGTCGTAAGAACATTGGTTTTGTTATCAGACCAGTCTTTTGCTCTGCTGACATTTCACGGCAGGCCACGAGGAATGCTGGGACGGTCGGTCCCTGCTCAAGGGGTGGAGATGGGGAAGGAGGCACGCTTTGAAACCCGGAGTTCTTTTTTTCCAGGAAGGAAAAAACACACAGACACAAGTAATCGTCAATTCCCCAGAAAATATTGGAAGATATGTGAAGCGGGGGGGAAGACAAAAGCCCAGAACATATGGAACATATGGGGACTCCTGTTAGTTGTGTGTATTTGTTTGTGTGTCCCAGGGCCCCTCCATCTTTATCTTCTGTGCAAGACGTGCCTCCCTCGGCCGAACGCCTACGGTCCACGAGGCGGAAGACCCGGTGCCCGTGGTCCGCGCCAAACCGTGGCGCTGGGCGCCGCGGCCACACGCGAGGAGGAGTTGGAGGAGAAGAAGGAGGAGGAGGAGGAGGAGGAGGGTGAGGGTGAGGAGGAGGAGGAGGAGGATGAGAAGGAGGAGGAGGAGGAGGAGTCGGAGTTGGAGTTGGAGTTGGAGTTGGCGGAGGAGGAGGAGGAGGAGGAGGGAGGAGGAGGAGGAGGAGGAGGAGGAGGAGGAGGGCGAGGAGGAGGGCGAGGCGGAGGGCGAGGAGGAGGAGGAGGCGGAGGAGGAGGAGGAGGAAAAGGAGTTGGATGGAGGGAGGGAGGGGGAGGGAATTCAGAAGGAGCCGGCCACCACCCGCCGCAATCACCACCCCCGCCCGCGACCGGCCGCCGCTCGGCACGCCCTCGGCCCTTGGGCTCCTGCGCTCTCTCCGCTGGGGGCTCTGCCACACCGGGCTCGCAGAGGGGCCCTGGGAGATGAGGTCCTCCTCGCGACGGGGCGGAGGAGGAGGAGGAGGAGGAGGAGGAGGAGGAGGAGGAGGAGGAGACGGAGGAGGAGACGGAAGGGTAGGAGGATTTCCGTTGCAGCGCGGCCAGCGTCCTCCAGCGGCGTCGAAAACCCCAATCCCCGAACAAAAATCTAAAACTAAGTGAAGACAAGAACCGGGCGATCCCAAAAGGGACACCGAAGAAAATAGGGGGACACGTGGGAGGCGTGGCAGTCACAGTTCACCGCCTCCAGCGGCTGTCGCCGAGCCACCGATACAGATGTACACTCCCCCCTCCTAGGAGTACGACCGAGACGGGCACGGAAAGGATGGAGACGAAGACCTACAGTGTGGCCCACAGAGGCCCACAGCAGGGCCCGCCCATTCTGAGCAGGGTTCGCTGTCGGTGTTGCCGCAGACACTGCCTACTTGGGGCAAGAAGTCGCCTGCCCGACATCCGCAGCTCTCGGTTTTGGACGCCATGTGCTCGTGGGCATCTCACCCATCTTTGTCGTACCCATTTCGAGCGTGCCAGAGGAGCTCCACCTAAGGGTTGGAGGTTGCCCGAGGTGGTCCTGGCCAAAGGTGCCCCCGAATTGTTCGTGCCATTCTAGAGCCCCTAGGGCCATCTGGGTCTCGATTTGGGTGCTCTAAGGCCGTGGACGCCTCCCTGGGAGTTCTGGGGGCACCTTGGACCATGGACACCTGGCAACACGCGAGAGGAGGAGAGCAAGGACTCAGTGTACGTTAGGATCGCGTCGTGCCGACGCGGCAGCGTTCAAGGCTAAACGCCGCCAGTGGTCGAGAGCCAGCCAACATGAAACGATCTGGCGACCAGAAAGCTGCCGATCTCTCAAGGCTGAACGACCCATGAAGTGTCAGAAACCAGCGCCGGCGCCGCCTCAACACGAACCTGCCGTAACGTGAATTGCGCCGCGCCCCAGACTTTCGACCTCGAAGGCGTGCATTTGCTATATGGATGCGTTCGTCGCTCGTGAGACAATGCCCAACTGCGAATTGCGGCATCGGTTCTGGCATCACGCCTCGGCGCCATCTGCTGACCGCGTCCCAGTCGCCGAGCGTCGACGTCACGAGCCTGCTGCACTCCCCGCCGCCGTGGACCTCCGCAGCAGTTCTCAGGGGCAGCGATAGGGGAGATGGACATAGGGGCGGGATGCATCGACCCCTGGTCGCCCATGGATCGCCGATAGGGGTCTGAGAAGCCCCTCCCCGCCCAGGAGGGTGCGGCTTCGCTCTCGGGGGCCCCTCGCCGCTCCGGCGGCGCCGCGCCGCCGGTCCCAGGCCTATAGGCACGCGCCAGACCCCCCCCCCCGCATCGTTGCCCCGCCGTGCCGTGCCGAGCGGCCCGCCGCGCTCGCCCCCGGGCCCGCGGGGGCGAGCGGCCATGCCAGGCCGGCGGGCGCGGGGGCTGGCGCTGGCGCTGGCCTGGGCCGTCGTGGGAGGGCATCAGCCGTGCGCGCCCGCCCCGATGCTGACCGGGCCGGCCCTGGGGCCTGGCGTGGGCGTGACGTGCGGCCGGGGTTATTCGGGCGCTGCCAGAAGTACCCCTGGCCCCCTGGCCCAAGGTGGCCCCAGGATTCTCGGGGTGGCCCAGATGGCCTCCAGGGCACCCCTCACGAGGCCCAGAGGGCCCCAGGGGGCTCCAAAATGAAGCAAAAAACTGGGGGCACTTTGGGCCAGGGGCACTTCTAGCCAGCCTGCCTATAGCCTTGACCACCAGAAAGAATGTGGAGCACCAAGAAAGGACCGGAAAAACTAGAGGGCCTAAGTTGCACGTGCCGGGCCCTGGGAGGCGATGCTCGCTCGACACTGCTTCGACAGTACTTCTCCGGGTGCTCGGAAGTGTCTCGGGGATGTGGTCCTCAAGTGCGACGGGAGCAGCATGAGGCCGGGACTCTCTGCGTGGCGCGTCGCGCCGCCGGCTCTGGCCCACCACGGCTCGGCGCGACGCGCTGGCCGCTTCCCAAGTTCCCAGGCGTCAGCGTCTCGCGCCCTTTCCCTCGGCCGCGCACGCAGGGGGGGTAGGGAGGGGGGGGAAGGCTCCTCAGAAGCATCTCTGCTTCTTAGAGGGCGCGGGCCTTATCTGCAGATGCAGGGCCGGCGCCTTCTAAGAAGCAGCCTCCTTCGAAAAAGCCTTCCATCCTGCCCCGCCCCCTTGTGCGCGCCGCCAACTCACAGCCTCCCGCCCCGCGGAGCGGAGCGACACGTCATTCGCTTGCAAGGCATGGCGTGTCGCTGGGGTCGCCGCCGCAGCACGCTGAGCAAAAGGTCCGTGTACTGATCCTGGTTCCACGATTTGCCTGGCCAGATCGTGGGTGGTGTTCGCTGGCCGCCCTCCCGCCATCCTGGGCAGCGTGCAAGGCGACGACTACGATGACATCGACGAGGACGACGGCATCGAGCAGGACGCGCTGAGCGCCGAGCAGATGCAGGGCATCCATCAGAAGATGGATGCGAACGGCGACGGTAGGGCATCCATGGTGGAGGTCTTGGCCTTCTCGGATAGCATGCGGAGGCATATAGCGGCGAAGGACGTGAAGACCGTTCTAGACGAGATGGACCTGGACAAGGACGGGAGGCTGAGCGTCGAGGAGTTGATTAAGGACATGGACATGTGGAGCGACGATGAGGAGGAGGACCGACGTGAGTCCGCCATGAGGAAGGAGGTGGAGACCGCGAAGTTCGGCGTCGCCGACAAGGACAAGGATGGGCTGCTGGACGTTGAGGAGCTGCCCGCCCTGTTCTACCCAGAGACCCACGAGGGCGTCCTGGACCTCACCGCCAAGCAGACGCTGCAGCAGAAGGACCTGGACGGCGACGGCTTGCTGACTCTGCAGGAGTTCTGGGAGGGCGACGCCCTGGAGGGCGAGGATCAGAGGGTCAGAATCTGGCCTTCGCCCTCGTGTCCAGGCCGCCGCGGCCACGTGCGAGCCTTACCCCTGCGGGCCCGCTCGACGCTGGGGCATCGGACACTCTCGCCTGGGCTCGGTGCAGACATCCTTCGGATTCTGAACCCCGGCCGGCGTTTCAGAAGCCTGAGTTGCAGGTGTAGGGTTCTCACGTGGTTGCATAAAGTCGCTGAGCACCACCAGCCCTGGCCAAAGCCGTCCTTGGCCCTGGGATGGTGTACACAACCTGGCCTCGACCAGGATGATGAGTAGTCGCGCCAACGATGGGGGCGTAGGACGGCCCTGGTCGGAGAATGTGATGGTGGTGGTGTACAGATGCCGCTTCCGAGTCCAAACCATGCCACTTCGTACCAGGTATTCATTTTCTGTTATGTTCTCGATGCCCATGCGTGGCGGTCGGCTCGGTATGAGCTGGCAGCGGGACCCTCAGCAGCCAGGGCCATCTTTGCCCCCTGCTGGGAGGAGATGACTATCACCGAGGACGAGCGGGAGGATTTCCAGAAGCTGGACACCGACCGCAGCGGCAGGCTGGACCTGCCAGAGCTCAAGATGTGGGAGTCTGGCAGGTTCCACACCGAGGAGGCCATGAAGACGCTGTTCGAGCTCGCCGACCGGGACAGCGACATGCACGTCACCGCGGAGGAGCTCGGGTCGGCGCGAGAGCAGATCGCGGGCAGCGACGCCCAGTATCACCTCATGGAGTGGGCGGAGCACTACGAGCTCTGAGCGCTCTCCGCTGCTGGCTCCCGACCGGCCTCCCCCCACCGCCACGGCTGCTCTGCGGCGCGGCCTCGGCCTCGGCGCGCGCTGCTCTGCGACGCGACCTCGGCCTCGGCGCGCGGGGCGGTGCCGCCTTGCCGCCGATGCAGCAGGGGCGTGGGGTGACGAAGAGGAGGAGGAGGAGGAGGAGGAGGGGGAGGAGGAGGACGAGGAGGAGGAG